GGTATAATGATAATAAACCTTCATCTGGTCTGAAGATGTGTCTCTGGGGGTCGATGGGACTGCACCTGTAAGGTCTGCGCTGGACCTTCCCCTAACCCCAACCCTAAAGAAGATGATGTTTCTTTTATTTCATGATTTTAAACTGTGTTTTATTACATGATTTAACCCTTAGAAAACCTTAGGCCTTGAATTTTAACTAAATGTGACATTCTTATTTTACTGAGGTAAACAGATGTCTCACCCTTTAATTAGATGCAAGATAATTAAACCAAAACACTCCCTTTTTCTTTGTCCTAAAGTGAAGTTTTCCCTCCAAAACATTTTATTTGTTAAAATCTTTTCCTGTATAAGGTGTAATATTTTCATTGGCCAACTTAAAACCTTGACTCCACCCATAACAGCGGTTTTAAAAGTCAGTACAGTCCCAAGATGGACAGTTTTTGAGACAGGTTTTAGTGAGTGATTGAATGAGAGTATGAGATAAAGAGATCTTTTCAACATCAGAGGCCAGAAACAGCTTTTAAGAGCTTGGCAGAGACCCTTCCTGCCAGCCCTCCTCATGGCTGGTGGGATGTGGGTCATTCTACATCTCCCGCTGATTGATCGAATAGCTATCATTTCATATCATCTCAATATCCRAGTTTGATTTTATAAAAGTCAAATAAACTAATGTTAATTCATGCRTTGTTTTAGTTAGTTTTTCTCTACAAAGTGGAAATCAAATTAAGAAGTCTTGCAGCCACCTGAAAGGACCGGACCCCACTGTCATCAGCTCATTACCCACCTTTCTGACTGAAGGACCAGCAGCTGAAGCACAGAAGCAGTTTTTGGGGAACATCACCTAAAGGTCCTGTGGTCAGCCGACACATACTTCTGGTACCGCCATCAGCAGAATAAAAGGGTAAAGGTTAACATTTGTTCTGGTGACACACAGGTGCTCAGACTAATTAGATTTTTATTTTTGTATGAGATTTGGTAAACTAAATGCTTTTTCAACCTAATTTAACTAG